TTATAACATCATAAAAAACACTTTAGAACAAATAATCCAAAAGTATTCATAACTTGATAGAGGAATACTGTCTTAGTCAATTTAATGTATCAATGAATTAAATGAAAATATCCAAAAATCTATTTTAAACACAAACCATAATCGTTCGTATGAATTCCAAAACAATGTGATTAAGGCGAAGTATACGTAATTGCACGCCTCTAGCGGAATTTGGGATAATCAACGTGCGTCGTTAGTTACGCGAGTTATCTCCCCTACTCAAAGAAAGGAAAAATGGGCACATGAAAGACAAATGACTTCGTGTGGTCTATCATGAATCAAAACAAGTATTCCTGTGCCATCTCAAAACTTCAAAGAAATTATCAGAATGACTCCAACATCTTCAATCAGAAATATGAGTACTGTAAATTCAGAAATTATTGCGTGAATTTATTATAGCGACTTTGTCATTTTAGACTTAAATGCGATTTTAATTTTTGGAATATTGAGAAATTTCCTGTTTAATTCATATAAAAAATTTCAAAATGCGAGTTTAATTTTTTGCGATTATAACCCTGTCGCATTTTTCGCAATAATAAGAACATCGCAATAATTTCTGAATTTACAGTATCCTCTTGTGAGTTAGTCTGACTCTATTGCCACTGTTTTTGTTTTAGACAGGCAGGAACATGTACACAATACGACTCAGTGTTTATTTAAACAGAAAGTAAAAACGCCTAAACAACAAAATTATAAATAAATAAACAAATAAACCGTATCTTGTCGTATCAAAATCGTTAAAATCAAACTAAAATTTACCCCACAATATTTTTTGAAAAACAATAGTCTTAAATGAAATTCACAGTGTAGCGTAAAATTGTAGGTAACGAATAATTATATTGCATGTGAATTTGTGTGTTGAACTAGAAAGACGTTGGCATGTCCCGTTTTTTATGCAAATTGAAAATTTTAGGATGATTTCATTTATGTTAAAAGTATAATAGATACAAAGGGTTATCGACCACTACGGCACTATAGTGCAACATTTATAAGTCCTTGTAACATTTATAAGTCGAAGAACATAGCCAAAAAAGACAATCAGATTCCATCCACAAAACATTACACAGAAACTTAGAATTGAGCACTATCACATTTATCTTGGAATAAGTAAAATCTATGTCATCCAAATCTCAGTTCTCAATGATTATGTGCAGAAAATAAACAGGTGTCTTCTATTCCGTCCGCAATTTTTAGGGAAAGTAGAATCTAAATTTAGAACCATGGTTGAAACTGAAACTACGCATGTATGATAAAAATAGAACATGTTGTTTTTACTTTATCAAATTCTAATTTGCAAGGGATTGCAAAATTTGTATTCTTTTGTTGTGCTTTAAGGTATCATTCAGAAGAAGTGAATACAATTTTGAAGTACAATTTTTCTTCTCAAGTCTCAATTGAAGATTATGATAGAATAGAGTATAAGAGTATAAGGTAGGGGAAGAAGTGGGAAGGGCGATGTCGGGGCCTTTTATAACAGACTATACGGTAAGGATTTTTCTTATTGTTGAAGGCTGAATGGTTGCCTATCTAATAATTACTTACATCCACTTCATTCAGTAAGGTAGCTGGGGTGTCTAAATGTTCGACGATAGATTATTCGTAAACTTCTGTAAAAGACTTTTCAGTCAATGTAATTTCAAATTTCAATATAAAAACTTGGGATCACGGACCTTATTTTCCCGTCATAATACATTGAAATTAACGAAGTTTGGGGTATTTCATTTTGTTTATATAGGGGTAACTTTTAAGTAATAGGGCTCACGGGCCTTACTTTCTTGAAAAAATTTCCATCAATGTTTAATATACTTTACGACACTAAATTTGTCGATAGTTCAGTCTTTAAATTTCAAGTTTTAGGTATTTGTTGTATATTGAATGATATTTGGTAAAGTATTTTTAAAACAAAAGAAAATTTGAACCATGACCAGAACGGACTCACAGAAAAAAAAAACATCTGATCTACCGATAGTTGTCTCTTTTGCAATCATACCACATCTCCTAATCTTTATATGATAAAAAAAAACATGAATGGCACTATACACAAGTTAAACTCGTATAGCATTACATTATGAACAATCACCTTGCATTACACTAGGTACAATTTTTAGCATCATACTGATACATTCTCATAACATCGCCCTTGTACATGCATCACATCCGTAAATTTATAGCATTATACATCAGTACATTTATAGCATATCACTATACACAAAGCTTTAGAATTACACTATACAATGCTATAGCTGCATTACAATATACACAATGTTAAGGCATAACACTGGGAATGATCTGTGCTACAGGAAGTTATATAAAAAAAACTCCGATCTGTTTTATTTGGCTGAAAATCATATGCGGGTTCTTCTTTTGACCTTATTACAGCCATACAAATTCTCAAGATAATATTCAGATGCAGTTTTCTTTTTTTTTTGGGAGTCGTACATGTTGATATTTAACAAAAAGGGACAAGAAATTATTTCCTTTGTTACTGAAACTCCATCAAACATTACATCATGCTTTGTCGTGTAGTTAAAGAAAAAGGGAAAGCGATTGAGACAGGAACTTTTAAAATAAAATTGCAGAGTTTTGTCACGTGCACGTGTGTGAACCTGACAAAAATAATGGGTTTTGTACGCAATACCTCAATAGCACCGGAAATGGTGAGGATTAAAAGATGCAGAAAATTATATTTACTTCTTTCATGTACGAACATCCAGAAATAAGATTTAAAAAAAGACTTCTATACGCGACCTCAATATTATAACCGATTTTCTTAATATATAAATATTTTTTTTAGGTTTTCTTACATATATTTCGATGTGTCCCGTGTTGTCTATCATTTGTTGTTTAGTTTTATATGTATTGTCTATCATTTGTTGTTTCGAATATATTGGTCTTTTTTTGGGCAATGTATGATAAATAGTTGAAAAACCTCGCCCGTAATTATAAATAATTTAATTCATTGACCGCTCCCGACATGTGTAACTTCAAAACATATTTTAGTGGCGATCGATGTCTTTCAAAATTACTGCACTTTTCTTGTATCTCTGGTGCTTTCGACTGGAGAACCGTCGTACACAAGCATCGCACAAGTTGGCACTCAGAGGCGGCTGGGGAGCAAGAAGGTGAACTGTGGTTTATTTTTATCAATAATACCGCATAAGTCGACGCTAGGGGCCGTCTTGGCCTTTTTGTATGGTATGAATGATTCGTTTATTGTTGAAGACCCTACATCAACTGTCAAGATGAAGAACCGGAATAAAAGCCCTGTTCATTGATAATTCTTTTATTTTTTCTATACATTGTGTGCGATTTTGTCCCATGTACATTTACTCCCTATCCTTTTATTTTCTATCTATCGAATCATTCTGTCAACGCTGTGCTAACCGGGACAATTTCAAACTCGATATTTGATTCATAATTATTAGAACAATACAAACATTGCCAAAAAGATGTAGAACCCTGTCTTATTTAGAAAAGATGGAATCTATAAAGTAACTTTATTTCACTTGCAGTATATTTATTTGCCAATTCTAATTTTTTTTGGCAGCGGAAATATCCTTAAAAATTAGTCAGTTTATTTCCTTATCAATTCGATTACGCTTGAGCATTTGCAAAAATTAGGAAAATGGGTTTCACACACGATTTTTGTTACGACACTGTACGATATAATAGCGTTAAAGAGTAGAATTTATGACAACGTTACAGTAGACATCAATAACGTCGCCGAAATTTTTTTTATTTTTTCCGCTAAAAATGAAACTTCCAGACGATATAGCCTGAAAACTAGCACGGTTGCTAAGGACTTTCTTTGCACCAATGGATTCATCGTTCATTTTTGAATCACATTTCGATTTTTAAAAAAATTCTGTGGACCAACGAATTAGAAAATCTTGATAAAGTAAAAATATCAGCCGATTTTTATGATTTTCCCTGTATATCCTTTGTATTTTTGGCGTATCATGCTGTTAATTGCAACATCTTGTATCTGAAAAACGAAAACGGTTACCCCCTTTTTTTATTTTATTTTCTGATGTATTTGTACAAGCAGAATCCACATGTAAAATTTTTAAAAAATCTGTGTAGTAGTTGATTACGTACACTTCGCCTTAAATAAGATTTTCAAAATCCTACACATAATGTGTTCAATCTGACTTGATTTAAAGTGGTATGAAAATGTTTACATTATGAAATTCACCTCACATAATGTTCCCTTATAGTATTGATAAATTAACAAACTTCACATTATTTGATTCGGAAGTAAAAATGTGCGCCAACAACTATTTTTGGTGTTTCAGTGTAATAAAAAACATAAAGGACTGTTTGTGCCTTAAACCTACCAAATATGAAAATTAGAAAGTAAACCCTCAATTGGAAACAACACACGATAGCTATCAAACGAATTGCATTTTAACCAGGAAAATAATGAGCTTATACAGGTCATTATTTTATGCCTTGAAGAATATTTCATTGAAACTTGATATCGTCCGGGTTGATTCTTCAAAAGAATGACCTATCGTTCTGAAAGAAAATAACTTCATGTAGGTAATAAATAAAACAAACTATTTGTATTTATTAACGAATTTTATAATTTATTTTTCAAATGATATCGCTGGTTTAATAACTTATTAGTAATGCATTGTCATTTTACCGATCTATTTTCATAATGTCTATACACATAACCTTTTTCGTAATGTTTTTTTTTTCTTTCCAAAAAGTATCTTGGAGTAACAATATGCATCATTCGTTTACAGAGAGAGCAGCAATTAAACCTGTTATTCATGTTTCTTACAAATATATCTCTTGATTATCAAATTTGATGATGTTGAAAATTTATGATTTCAGATGTGTCATTATCCCTTTACTATTATCTGTGCAAAAACATAGTCGGAACAGACAATCATGTAAAATAATACGATTAATGAATACAGTTGGTGATAATTTATCAAGTAACTACGGTGCACATTACCAGTGGTAGTTTTGGTGAAGGATTGCAAATGCGTGGTAGTGATATAGATATTATGTATGTATTGACAATCATCGAGGTTCACGATAAGATAAAATCAATTGTTTTCAATCCTATACAAACGTATTTTGTGCTTACGACAGAAGATACAAAAGCAGGTTTTGCAATGTTACATCTTATAAGGAGTCAAGATCCAACCATGCTAAAAAATTGTGAAAAATTTAGAAAGGACTTTTATTTGTCAAATGCTTTGTTCAAACAACTTTGTTTAACCGACAGATGTCCTGTTGAGCATGGACCGTGCGTGTCCGACAAAGAAGGTTATTCTGATTATGCTTATTGCCTGCATAGTAAATCGTGGATCCAACCCGCATCAAAATGGATTATGAGGTCAAATAATTCCTGGCCGAATGAAAACACAAAGCAGATGATCATCAATCACGGGGTGCTTTTTGTACCAATTGGTGCTAAAGGGTCAGAACACGAGGAATTGGAATGGCGAATCTCATTCTCAGTTGCAGAAAAATTTCTTATTTATACGTTTAGTCACGCGCAATTTACGTGTTATGCACTCATGAAAATTCTTTTAAAAGATGTTATAAATGCTGACAAGAGAATTAAAAATGTATTGTGTTCTTATCACCTGAAAACAATACTTTATTGGATATCAGAGGAGAAACAACCCTCTGTATGGACACCTGACAATTTGATACCTTGTTTTATGAGATGTTTCCGTCGGCTGATATATTGTGTGGAATATTCAGTGTGTCCGCATTATTTCATTCCAGAAAATGATTTGTTTAAGAATAAGATAGAAGGACTATATAGAGATAATTTAAATGATACACTTCGTGTGCTATATAGCTATGGATGGCGATGCATTTTATTCTCTAATCAAATATCACATGTTTCGGTTTTGTCATGCAACATTCCAAATGATCACAATTTCTTATATTATGAAGATATTAACAAATTGTTAAAGTCAAAAATATTTGCACTTGCTACTGTTGTGAACGGTACACAAAATAACTTCGGTAGAGCTATTTATAACATAATATCTTGTTTCTCCAAAAAATTGAAATACATTCATGCATTCTTCATTTCAATCGTGTGCTGCAAGTCCATATGCCTAAGCAGTGCAATCAGTAATAAGAATCATTATAAACAATATAACACTTGTCTGAGCTATCTACTAATGAACATCAACCATTATATTGCCTCTGGATGGTTGTTGGTGGCTTCGTTTTTTTTATAATGCAAACCAATATAAGAGAGCTCTTATAATTATTTCGCATGCATTATCGATGTGTACACCGGACAAATTTTTCCTTCTCACAGAAATTTCATTCAGGCAACGTCGTCTAGTCAAGTGGCATTTGGAACAAGGGCAAGACGTTGTGCGTTCGTTAAAATTCATACTGGCAGATAATGTTAATTTTAAAATGTCTTCATTAATTCCTGCGGAACTGCTAATAGAAGGGGGTGTTTTTAAAACACCACCTGTAGTGTACGCACATTGTTTGTCGTTTCTTTGTCATTATCATCTGAACAATAGACGAGAATGCAGAAATTCACTCCGAAACCTTCAATTGACAATCACTGAAGAATATTTCATGGTAGCGGAAAGATTGACTTAATTAACATTTTATTATTGTCTAGGTACTGCTTTACAATTAGTAGGAGACAATATATCAGCAAAACTTAATTTCAATGAAACCATGAAGTTATTATACCCCTATCCATACATGATTAAGTATTTCAAAAGACTTTCTATGATAACTTCCTTGTGAAAAACAAATTGATCTGAAACAAGAAATGTACGTACCTTATAATGTTGATGAATAGTGATATAAACGGTACTCAATACAACATGTATATTGTAAATTGCCTTTCTTTTATTGAACAGTTTTTTTTTTAATTTTGTATAATTATTAGCCGGATATCTATCTATATTTGGATAAATCATTGCCAATTGAATCGTGTTGATGTTGGCATCCAACGCAATTTCAATATTGAACTGAATGCCCTATACGATAGACATATTTTTGTAGATTTATTTTACAAACTCCTTAGGTTTTCGGTTTTCATTGCATTTGCCGATGAATTTGACATTTCTGACATTATTGATGACACATGCCAATCTAAATGATACATGCAATACATGTGGACTTGTTCACCATGCAATTGGAAAATTAATCTAAAACAGCAATAATTTTGTTTATTAAAAGGAATGAGGGTGTTTTGTAAAGTCTCTCAAAAATTTTGTCGTGGAATGCAAATTTACAGGAAACACGTGTTTATATATGATCAAAATACACGAGGGGCTTTAATGCATGTTTATGTGTATGTTTTAATATACGGTCATGTAAAGGTTAAATGACAATCAACAAATAACGGACTGTACATGTAAAACCCACTACACAGATAAATGTATTTACAATTCAATGAATTAATTTAATTATTAGATCAACAAATTTTAGTATTGCATACTCAATGTGCACAATGAATATACTACAACATATTTTGTTTTGTTTCCTTCCTACGTAAAAATAATATAAACAAATTGAAATTTGAAATTTGACTGATTATTTGTCTTGACATTTATTCAACAATATTTAACAAAAATAAACAAAAATACAACTAACATAAAAAAAATGGCCATGTCATTTTTCATATCCAAACAAAAAAAAAACCATCGAAATACCATATTTCTCAAGGTTTAAAGAAATACAATGCCTTTGGTGATTATCTGGTCCACTTTTAGACAGTATTAGCGTGCAAATCCAAACATATTCGAAACCGGGGAATTTTTGCTGCAAGATGAATGCATGTACATATTTATTTTACCTATAGTGGTCGTTATTGTCTGTTAATTCATTCTGTTTTATTTTTTGTGCTTTCGTCTATCGTGAAGAAATCAAACCGATGTAATAGCTTACTTAAGGATTTTAATGTTTCAACTGTATTCTAGTAAGGTATAATGTTTGCCAAAAGCCAGCGTTTAATCTTATTTAAGTGGTAATAGAAAATTGTAAACATTTGTTTCAGGTCGACCCACTTTTGCATCTCGTCATGAATATATATGACATATTTGTGACCCATCATGACATTTCTAGGCTTATGGCGTTAAACGTCATAATGAGAAAACGTCGATGTAAAGTAAGATCGTTTACATGTGTTTTACGAATAAAATAATGATTTTGGTTAAAATCCCGTTTATAATCGCGTTCTTAATTCACAAAATGTATCTTTAGATTTGATTGCATGAATCACTTTCTCTTGAATCATTAATACGTTTTCGAATATACAAAATGGTTAAAAGTATGTTACCACTACGATATATTATTCATGAATGTAAAGTACCGAAAAATTATAATTTTCCCGAAACAGATTGCAGAAGAAACACCAAGTTTATTTTTTGGAGGAAATCTCATTGTATAACATTGTAAGGGAAAATATGGACATATTTATGGACAAATACCGGTAAATGTAAATCATTCAAGATATACCTGCCCATTAGGACCCTAATAGTGTCTCATCCCATATTTAGTCCTATATTGTTTTTATCTATGACTGTCTTAAAACTTCATAAACAAGATGTATGGGTTGTTGAAAGTTTTACGGCATACATTTCACCTACATGCCCTAATATTCTTGATAATGCTGTTTGATTTTACATTTTACTCTGCATTAACAGATCTTTGATTTACTCACTTTGTCCAGATTTATGTATAATATGTACTCTCAATAAGATAATAGATGAACATTAGAAAAAACATCAAAGACTACAAAACTCCTTAAGGGTATATTATATATCTTGGTATTCATCTTCTCAGTATTGAAGTTGTTTTCCTAACACATTCAAAGAAAGAAAATGTTTAAGTCACCATGAATTTTATTGCAGATTCCAGTGCATTGTTGCTATGGCAACCGAATTAAAATGCTTCGGTTATTTAATTATTAAAGATCCAATTACAATTTGAATAATTAGAAAACGACAACCCCCCCCCCCCCCCCCCCCCCCCCCAAAAAAAAAAAAGAATAAAAAACCGATATGACATAGCAACTATAATACATAAACATACATGTGAAAAACTGAAATAAATTATTTGTTTTAATAAATCGCAGCTTACAAAAATGACCATAATTTTGTTATTTTGTAGAATGTTGCAAAACACTCATATAGACCCTGTTACCTCCATAAGCATGATAAGCCTGAAAATCTCAAGGCTGGTCACATTTGCCACCAAACGTGCAGTGAGCATTATTCAGCTTCATGCAGTGGCGTATAATAAATTATCTTCAGTGGATACAGTGGATGATTATGTCAACCAGATTTCCAATTTCTAAATATTTGTTTGTTAAAGCAAAAATTTCAGAGGGCGTGACATCTTTGGATTTGCATCTACATGGATGGGTTTGAAGACGTCAATAACAAAACACGATAAATATATTTTGTCAATTAAAATCAAATAGATCGATCCTGTTAAATCTGATTCTGTTTATTCTGAAATAAAAAGGTTTGTTTGGTTACTTAACATTCAGCTGAATATTACATATATTTCAATAAAATGGTCACTTTCTTTTAAATTATTAATTGTACAAATGATAAAATAGAAATGTCAAAGGGTACAAGGAAGACAGATATAAGGATTGACTTATAATATGGTGCTTCAAGATCAAGAATGGAATCCTATTCAAATTGTGAAAGATCTATGGATATTTTATGACTTCATTTTAGCTGTTGTTCACCAATAACTAGAATATCTGCTATAAACAATTTTAACATTGTTTCTGTCCATTAGTGTGTATATATATACACTAAATTGAGGTAAATTGTATGGCTTTCCAAATACCGTTTTGAAGAGACATTAACTGTCGAAATCCGGATATTGTGTACAAAAACCTTTGCACCTTTTGTATGCGGTATTCCATCTTTTCCGCAAGTTTATTGTTTTCTGTTTAGTATTAAATTTATAATTAAGATCCATTTATTACATTGGTGATCCGTTTAATTGGCTATCGCCAATGGCAGTCGGCAGGGTTTAAGAACATTTGTTGTTCGACCTGTTAGTCAAATGCGTTTTGTTAAAATATACTTTTTCACTTTTTTGTTTTTTTGGAAAATGTTGTTTGTGCTGTATTTAGACCCCTCTAACAAGAAATTTGTTTTGTATGCACACGTATAAAAATTGCGGTTTTTATCCAACGCAATCATACGTTTGAACGTTGTTTGCAATTTAGACTTGTTTATACACGTATATATATATACAAAATCTTCATTGAGTTGCATTAACTCATACATCGAAGCAAACAACGATGACAGTCGTGTCTTGCTGATTAAACTTGCTGTTTCAAGATTTTCGTTGTCTAGTAGGGTTTTTTTAAAAGGCAAAATGGATTTTAAAAAATGTATTAAAAGGGGAAAATAATTTATGTAAGGATTTAATTTGCAAAACGCGTAAAACATGTGTAGCAATTAGCCATGTGACTTATTTGAAAATTTAAATGACTTGGTTGCTGTTTAAAGATTACAATCATCTATAAACGATGACTCAAATGTATTTCAAGTAAACAATGAATAGTAATCTTGCCAACATATATCATCTATACAAGTTTTGATCGAGCCGCTTTAACTTACATTACTTGATTCTGAAACGGTTACATTTAGGCTCATTTAAAACGATGTTATTCGTTGAAGTCTATATGCATAGTTTTCAATAAAAAACAACAGATTTATTGATTAAATAAACTAAACAGATATCACTAATTTGCATTAGCAAATCAATTAGTGTAGGCAAACTACATAATTGAAACAAAAAATGAACACTTACCTGAACATACTGACATAATCTTAGCGGATTGGAAACACATTAGGCAGATACCTACTTTTGAAACGACGATCAAACTTGAGAAACAATGTTTTCTTCATCATTTTGTATTTTGAATTATTAATATGCAAGGTTCAAGTAATACATCATTTAATGTTTAAACTATATACAGTACTTTTCATTTGGCTTTACCCATATAAATGTGAAAAATAAAACACAACTTGCATAAGCAGAATTCAATGAAGAGACAAAACTGAAAAATTCTCCAGTAGACAAATCACTTTGATTACAGAAAAAGTTCATTATACGTGAAGCTATTTAGCTTATTTAAACTTGTTAGGAATTCCAAGCTTATGACATTGTTGTGTGAAATGATGACATTTCTTGAAATATTTGTTTTTCTGTGTGCGACAGTTCGAAAAGATTGTTCAAAACCTTTAGCTGGATTCAAAATTGGTTATATCATTCACGGAATTGTTGTTCTCAATTTATTTATAACATGAAGCTTTGAAATTTATTTAACCATTTTGAAACCTCAATCGTTTCTTAAACCAACTTGTTTGTTTGACACATATTCGCCTAAATATCTTCTCTATTAAAATGAACAACATACAGGGAAGAGGGGAATTGCTCCCCAAAGTCTGACAGACAGAAGGAGGTAGAAAAAACTACAAGTTACTAAGTAATTGAAAAATAAAACGATTGTTGATGAGTTGCATATATGAAAAAGCGATCTAATCATTAAATTAAAAGCTTTGTTTCCATGCTGTCTTTTTTTAGCGTTTTTTAATACAGGGTTTGTTATGTATACTCACAAGGAACTTGGAGCAACAAAAGGATCACTTGGTAAAAGAGGGGCGAAAGATACCAGAGGGACATTCAAACTCATAAATCGAAAATAAACTGACAACGTCATGGCTAAACAAGAAAAAGACAAACAGACAAACAATAGTACACAGAAAACAACATAAAAAACTAAAGACTTAGTAGCACGAACTCTACCAAAAACTGGTGGTGATCTCAGGTGCTCCGCAAGGG